CGTCATTTCAATGGCGTCTCTTCTGCTTGTATATAAACTGTGATCCTTAATGGAATAGAGACAGTTCGATCAAATCGTTCTTTCACATATACAAGCATAACAAACACGACAGGAAAGAAAAGATGCGTCGGTCGTGGGGCGTGGGAGAACCACCGCGTGCCCGCGTCGGTTGGCTAGCAATCCGCACGAGCGGTTTGTACAAGGGAGGACTATCCTTAATTACTGAATTAAATTAATCCTAACAAAATAGTCCAAATCAAAGGAGTAGTGCAAGGGATAAAAAAACGGCGAAGAAAACTGAAAACCGAGGTGGTACAAAAAAGATCGACCCGGGGCTTCTGAAACGGGTACCTTCTGAAACACACCCAGCAATTAATCAAGAATTTGAACAACGCATGCGCAAGAAGAAACTCCATGTAAAAATGTCCATGAAACGGCCACCCGGACCCTGATCCACTGCTCGTCAGAAGGATCCAACATACAGTGCTACCTCTCTTTTCGCTTCACTCCATTCTCAAACCATGGCGGAGCACAAGCGTACAGTTTCCACCCTCGTTCTCCTCCTCCTCTTCTTCTCGGCGCCGACGAATGCCACACGGCCACCAGCAACGCTCCGCATCCCCGTCGTCCACCGCGACGCGGTCTTCCCGCCGCCGCCGGGCGCCAGCCGTGGTAGCCTCCTAAGCCGCCGCGCGGCTGCCGACGCCGCGCGGCTGCCGACGCCGCGCGGCTGCCGACGCCGCGCGCTACGCCTCCCTCAAGGCGTCCCTCGGGCCTCGGCCTCCGCTCCTCCTCCGCGCACGACGACCGCCTCCACTCCCCGGTCATGTCCGGGCTCCCCTTCGACAGCGGCGAGTACTTCGCGTCCGTCGGCGTGGGCACCCCGTCCACCAGCGCGCTGCTGGTCATCGACACCGGGAGCGACCTCATCTGGCTCCAGTGCAAACCCTGCCGCCGCTGCCACCGCCAGATGAGCCCGCTCTACGACCCCAAGGGCTCCAGCACCTACCGCCAGATCCCCTGCTCGTCGCCGCGGTGCTTCCCTCGCCATGGCTGCGACACCAGCACCGGGGCCTGCGGGTACGCCATGGTCTACGGCGACGGCTCCGGCAGCAGGGGCAACCTCGCCACCGACAGGCTCGTCTTCTCCAACGACACGTCCGTGGACAGCGTCGTCATCGGGTGCGGCCACGACAACGCGGAGCTGTTCGACTCGTCGGCCGGGGTGCTGGGCGTCGGCCGCGGCGCCGGCTCCCTGGCGACGCAGGTGGCGCCGACCTACGGGCGCTACTTCGCCTACTGCCTCGGCGACCGCACGTCCGTCGCGCGGAGCAGCGCCTCGTACCTCGCCTTCGGCCGCACGCCGGAGCCGCCGTCCACGGCCTTCACCCCGCTGCTGTCCAACCCGCGGCGCCCCAACCTGTACTACGTGAACATGGCCGGCTTCAGCGTCGGCGGCGAGCGTGTCGCCGGCGGGTTCTGCAGCTCCAGCCTCTGGCTCGACCCGGCGACCGGGCGGGGCGGCGTGGTGGTGGACTCGGGCACGTCCATATCGCGGCTCCCCAGGGATGTGTACGCGGCGCTGCGCGACGCCTTCGACGCGCGCGCGGCCGCGGCCGGGATGCGGAGGCTGGCGCGGGGCATCTCGGTGTTCGACGCGTGCTACGAGCTCCGAGGCGCCAGCGTGCCGGCGGTGGTGCTGCACTTCGCTGGCGGCGCGGACGTGGCGCTGCCCCCGGAGAACTACTTCATACCCGAGCAGGGCGGGAAGTACCACTGCCTGGCGCTGGAGGCGACGGACGACGGGCTCAGCGTGCTCGGCAACGTCCTGCAGCAGGGATTCCGGGTCGTGTTCGATGTCGAGAAAGAACGTGTCGGGTTCGCGCCAAATGGCTGCTAAGCTTGATCAACATTTATTTACACGGTTGTTTAACCTGAAGCATGTGTGTGTACTGCAGCCATAAATTGTTGTTTTCACGTGTTACATAGTACAACACGGGAGAAAACATACGCACGGCCGCACTGAATTTCCGTAGCAGTTGCAAACCCACGCTCACTAGTATGTCATTGCTTTGCAATGATCTCTCTGAACTTGGTCCCTATTCCCCCATTCGGTCGACAGCTTGAATGAAAGTAACAAAAGCACGTCCCCTGTACATAAAACTGCCGATGATAAAATTTGTTCTACTTTGCGAAAACCCGATCCACGACCAAAGTTATAAGAATTAAAGCTCTTTTGAGGGTCTGCCTGAAATGGCCGGTCAACCTGACCGTGTAGAGTTTGCGAATTGCTGTGTAATCGCACAACCACGACACGACGACATTCCAGTGATAGCCAGATTTTGGCCCGAGTCAACTGATCTTTTGCTGAGCCGCTTCAACATACTGCAGAGCAAGCTTTTTGACCTTGTCACCCTCCTTGATCAGGAAGTTGGCATTCTTAGCCTCCGAGTGGTGCTTCATAACCTTCTCTGCCGTTTTAGCAACAGCCCACCTGTATTGCTCGACGGTGATTACGCCGCTCTTGCAAAGTGGCCTGATGTTCTCTTTCACAAACATTTCAACCTAGAAAGGGTGAAACAAAGCAGTTCAGCCAGACATGTAAAAATAGATAGTACACTGTTAAAATAGATGCCCAGTGGAACATACAAGTGCGTTGTTACCTTCTTATGTACGGAACTAGATGAATCTGATGCGCTGTTATTGCCTGGATCAGGTGCTGGTTTCTTCAAACTGTCTACACTTTCTGCTGGATGGGTAGATGACTTGTCTGCTTTGGAATGTTTACGATTCAACTCTTGATTGCCACTGGAAGACTTCTCTTTACCGGGCTCCAGTTTCACTGCTTGCCTGATTCCTTCACCTTCTTTCGGCACATTATTCCCATGACTAGATTTATTATGCAAATCGCTCACTGTTATGTCCACTTCTTTTGAGTTCTCCACATGCCCGGTAACTTCATCAGGGATGTCAGCTACAGTTTCCTTGTCTGTTTGACTCGTTTTTTCGCATTGCAAACTACATTTATCGGCTTCGGCCAAGTTCACTGAAAGGGTTTCATTTGCTGTTACATCTGTAGTTTCTCCGCTGGGAATCAATTTCTGATCATCCTCAGAATTACATTTTGGTTGCTGATAGGACGGCCTCTGATCGAGGTTCTGACAATTTGCATCGTCCAGAACCTGCACTGATGAATCATCCTCATCTTTAAGTGGGGATGCATCCCTAACCCTAGAATCAGAACTTGACTGCAAACTTCTGCTCGGTTCAGAGTCCAAATTCACCAAGTAAGTATCGTCTGTATTTGTATATTTTTGTTGCGTGGAAATTGGGGAACCGGAAACTGTCCTGGAATTACCTTCAGCTGTTGTACTTTTTCTCTCGGGACTGTTAGGAGGGGAATCAAAGAGGCCTGCTCTTTTTAGCACTTCTTCCACGCTGTTGAAACAAACAGTATTTTCACTCGCATTCTGCTCGAGAACACCAGCTAGTTCACTCTTATCAGTTTGTCCGGCAGTAGCAGGAATATCCAAAAGGCCTGCTCTGTCTAAAGCTTCTTCCACATTACTGCTACCACTATTGGTATTTTCAGTTGTAACCTGCTGTGATATCAGATCGCTGCTAACTTCAGCCTTTTCAGTTAGAGTTGAAGCATCATTCTCGGGTTTTGGCTTGGCAGACTGGCGAGTAGCCTGGGAGCAAAGATTCACATAAACTGATTTGCTACTGGACTTCCCGTAGATATCATTTTCTACATTGACAGCATCAGCAATAGCCAATTCAGTATCTGCACATCTGCGAATAACGTCCAAATTTGCTCTCTGCAGATAATACTCGGCGATGCGGTAAAGTTGTGCCTGAGATACATAAGTTTGGTTGATAATTTGACCATTGAACAAGAAAAATACAGGTATGCTTGCAATTTATACTTAGAATTTAGTTGAAATGGAACAAAGTAAGAGCAAATAATGAAGCCGGCAATGTGTAAGCACAATAAAGGACTCCCTTAATGATTACCTGTCTAACTGACATGGGAACTTTATTATGACGTCCAGTTGTGAGCTGTGGCCTCATATCCACAGGAAGTTTTGCCTAAGAAAACCGAACTTGTTAGTGTTTCTAGAGTAGTGGTCAATGAACTTTTGAATTATTATTTTTTATAAGCTAACACGTACTAATAATGGGTAATTCCTGCTGAGATCGTCCGTGCCTTCTGTTTGATCTTTGCTACCAATAGAGCTGGCATTTTTCCTTGCCAGGATCTCAAGGGCCCATTTTCTTTTGTCCTGCTTGATATCACCAGCAGATTGATTTTGTTTATTCTGTGGTGCCTGGCCATTTTTGTTTTCTCTTCTACTCAATGCTTCTTTACTCAGGGTCGAAGAACTCGATACTTTTCCAGTGCTGTTGGGTGAATTGATTTTGATTGTCTGAGTCACAGGTGCAGGTTTGTTTGTTGATTTGCCGTCGTCACCTTTGATTTGGCTATTTTTATCGAATGGGAGGGACCCTTCAAGGGCTGAGAGAGGTTTTATATCACCCTTTCTGGGAACAACTGATGCATCAGCCAGATATAACCTGGACAAAAAGGCTTTCTTCTCTTCAGCACTTTCTTTGCGCGTGCCAGTATCTGAGGATTTCTTGAGTAACTGAAGTACTGATTGCAGTGTCTCAATCTTTTCAGGATTTATCCCTGGGGAGCAACGATGTTTCCAGAAGTCAACTTCCCTGTCACGGTGCCATGCACTTCGTCTCCTTCCTGTGGACGATGCATACAACTTCTTGGTCAGATTCTCACGTATCTTGCCCTTTTGAAGCAGTGACTTCCTTGCGAGTGAAAGGTTGGGTTTTTTGGCTGGTCCATCCATGGACTTCCCAATTGCTGAACGGAATGCGGTCAAAAGTTTTTCGTCAAAAGCGTTATCCTTCTTGAGTATACTAATACCATTATCTCTAACTACTTCCCTTATCTCTTGTTGTAGCTTCTGAACTACAGCAGTTGATTCTTTTCCGTCCTTGTGTAAAATCTTCTTCATTCTAAGACCAGGCTTATCTCCTGCCCTTCTGCCTACAGGCTTCGCCAGCTCCCTGCCAGGATCCCTCATATAGCTCTCTCCTTCAACTATACTCATTATATCAGGGACATATTTATTCTGTGTGGCAATTTTTGATGTATCACTGGCAATAACTTCGGCTGCAATCGAAGTAGCATGGCAGTCTGATGAAGAAACGCCTGAGTTTGCAATGAGATACATTTCCTGATCCGGCACTCCCAGTTTTGCTTTCTTCGCAGGATGACTAATTTCATCTCCTGATTCCATGTCACTGGCATTTTGTCTATCCTCCCTGGAGAAAAAACCCGACAATACTAAAGTGAAATTGTGTAGATCTATGCAACTGTCATGTGAGAGTGAAAATTAGCAGTTCTTACAAGTGAGTGCAAAGCGAAAGATTCTTACATGGGTGGCAACTGCGTGTTCTGGTCATTTTTCCTCTTCTGAACTGCGTCTGAGTTGATCATATCAACATCAGCTGATCTTGCCACCTTACTAGCTGCATCCGTAAAAAGGGAAGATGTTATTTGGATGCATAATGTGATGACCACACAATCCCTTGAACAGACAAGAATGCGGTATAATCAAGCAAGATTGGGCCAGAAACAAACAAACAGTGCATCATATCTATCTAAACTAAGCTATAAAATATACATTGTCTATAGTAATGTAATAATTTCCTTTTTTCGCTGTGAAAAACAAACTTCTACCACCAAAAAGATCAACAAATTTCTAAAGATGCAACTAACACAGCAGATTGTCTACTGAAATATTCAAATATGATGACTGAATGACAAGTTGGCATGTGTTGAAGCTTACTAATCTCTGATAAGCTACAAGTATGAGGCCTTCAACTATTGTGCTGGAATAAGCAAATTCCCCAACATACCTGCTGATGAAAGTTGTGCAGATTTGATGACTGGAGATTTCCCATTACTGTTTCTAGGCAGCGCAGCATCCTCTCCTGTACTTTCAGCCTCCTTACTTCTACATAATAATGAATAAGATAGCCCATCTTGTGGTACTTCCGATTGTTCATTCAAAATGTTACCATGCTCTGCGCTAAATAAGATACATGCTGACTCACGCATTGCTGAAAGTTCTGATGATCTTTGTGTTGGTTCAGAAGAAACCGTGCGAGCCAGATTAGTTTCAGAAGATTTATTGTGTGAGCTACAGGAAATATCTTTGTTCCTCGGGATACAGGCATTTGCAACAGCCTCATGTGATAAATCATCTATGGAATAACTTGGATGTGAATTGCAATAAAATGCTTCTTGGGCTGTCTCCGAGCCTAGTGAACCTTCTAGTAGATCATCCTTACTTTCAGAATTTACACCAACCATCGAGACAACAAGGGCAGTTTCACCATCATCTGCAACAGATACTGACACCCTCCCAGAAAATGATGCATCGGTAGATGTTCTATCAGAATCTCCATTGACGTTTTGCTTCAGGACAACCTCTGATTCATTTTTCGCTTCAATAGATACACATCTACAGAATTGGTAACTTCCTTATCACAAGCCCAGAGCAAAATAAAGATACTCCTACCAGCAAAGAGTGATCAAAGAGAAGAGTCAGATAGTATCAGTGTAAAATTACCTTGGGCACAACCACGAATCTTCAGATGTAGTTTCTGGATTAAAGCCCACACATATAGCATGATACCTGGCTTAAGGATCAAAGTAATTAGAAAACAGAACTGGTTAACAAGTCTCAACTAATAATGGACATATAGCATAATAATACAGTTATATATACCATAGATCACAGGAATCACAAGCAATTGATGTATCTAAAGCTGAATTATCCTCAGCTGCAACGAGTCCACTTCGAATTATGCAATCACCTCCATCCAAACAAACTACTGCCTGGAAATGGGGGAAAAAATAGCAAGCCACAGATCAACTTCGGGAGATAATGAATATGGGGGGGTTATCACTGTTTGAAAAGAAATTGATGAAATATAATATGAATATTGTTACTTCTGCATCTATATAGTATGATGGGAAAGATAATGTGTTGCTTTCGCCTGGATCATACCAATCATCATCACCACTGCACAATAACAAGGAAAACAAATAGGAGAAGTAATGAGCATGGCCTTTATTTTATTTGTTGCGCATTCTTTCAAAATAAATAAATGAAAGGCATCTTAAAATAAGAAATTTACAATCATGATGCTCATTACTCATGGACCAAATGATATGGCATGGATTCACAGGAAAATAAACTATTAGTACACACAAGCATATAAAAGTACACCAGCAATATTTTCCGCCTAACATGGTCAGGTGACTCAGTTGCCATCTTATAGTTAGTATACCTGACCAAAGGAAGGGCTCTCAATGGCGCCATGATTTAATGAATAAGAGTATTACTTTACCAAAGCTGATAATGGTTACATAACTTACAGGATGAAAGGCCCCAAAAATATGGCAGGAAGAAACCAATAATCTAGCTTATGAGGTGACAGGGGAACTACAGAGTAAACAACAACAAAATTGAACTAAGAGATGTTCAAACTGATGGTACACGACCTTCTGACCTTACCTTGTTAAAGGGTAATCGTCTTCAATAGTATCTCCAGTACCAGTACTATCATATACCTTCGATACAAAGAAAAAAATTATTACATTCCAATGCAGTTCTACCTCTTCAGGCACTGAGCCAAAAAAAATAAAAAATCCAAGATTGACAGCACTGAGATATGTTTTACTTACTGGAGTGGATGTTATATTCTGAAATTCAATTTTGCAGAGGGGGCAGCGATTTGTGATGGCAGACCAGTTGTCTATGCATGTATAGCAAAACCTGTTATGCGAAATAAAGTTATTTAATTATCACATTAGAGCTTTAAACAACTCATGTAGGACTCTGTGAACATTGATACAATATCGTTGCTTAGTGACTAGAAATCATATTTTTTAAACTTCCTCATGTACAGAAATCAATTCCGAAGGTGTTAGAGTGAGCAGTACTAGATAGAACATGTGAGGCTAAGAATCTAGTCAACAATGGTAATGTCAAATTAAAACTTGACCTTAAAGAACTTGAACTTAAAATGGGTAAGGGAAAGCATTTCAATTAAATAAGCAAGAAGGTGGACTAGAATACAAAATTATCAAATGAGGATGACTTGGACGGTGCATAACACCTAATATGCATTGACACTACACAGGTTTAGCCAACATATTTGCACAAAACGAAAAATAAGATTGTAACCTACAAAGTTCCCTAGCTGCACAATATTGACCCTCGAGACCTTAATGGTAAATATGAAGCTATGCACAAATGTTAGGAGGTGATGGAACAAAGTCAAAAATGCAGGATAGCTGTAAATCCGTGATTGAGCCATACCAGTGTTGGCAACCATCCAAAACTCCTCTATCGATAACAATATCTCTACAAATGCCGCAAATTTCATTCTCAGATGTATAATTTTCCTGCAAAAAACAGTTTGGATGGATGATCAAAGCAAGAAACATTTGGAACAAGAACTAGAGGTACAAAAAAGAGATAGCCCCTCCCTATAATGGCAAGCACGTATAACCACTAACTGATTATTGTTTGCATTTGCATACCCAGCCAAAATTAGTGTGGATTGTCATCACGAAAACCATTTCCAGCTCAGAAAATGGGGAACAGTTCCCATAATTCAAAAGGTTCGTCACTCTCATGCAGGCAGTGCTTTCCCATGTCATGGCCAAGAAACTAAAATGACACATTCTCATATTACATGAGAAGAGCTATGTAACCATATGAACACTATCTTTACTTACTCGAAGAGCACCATAGCAAAGGCGAACAGACCATCCACGAAATAATCGTTAGCAACTACTCGTACATATGAAAGGGAGTATCATCTCGTTGAGTCCCTTCCCTCAACTCATTCAGTAGTACCAGCAAGTACTTGTTTCGAGAAATACACCAGCAAAGCAAGCACTCGGTTTTTACCACAAGAACGGAATCGAAGGGACGCAATACCAGGTTATCCATCTCTTCCAGCGCTTCAGTCGGTGGCCCATCAACATCCATCTGCATCGGCATCGCTAATCAGCAGCAGATGCCGAGCTTTCTCCCCCAGCAGAACCCGCGGAAGAACCCTGCAGACCGAAGAACAGCGGCCATGAACCAGAATTACTCAAAGCACCGCGGCATGCGAGAGGTGGATGCAGTCTAGCGATACAAATTGGGGAAACTTGAACTCGATCAGCCCAGGATATTACCGCGGATAGGTAGCCAGCTGCGAGGGGAGCGGGGGATCAGGAGGAAGCTGGGCCGCTGGGGATCGGGGGCGCGTGGGCGTGCTCTCCGGGACAGTCCCTGCGCTTGCTAGGCGAGCACTTGCCCCGGCCCCCGACGGCGACGAGACACCGTGGGATCGCCGGTACTCACTCGTGCGAGGGAGACCTAGGCTGGGGTCGCTCAGCAGGCCGCAGCTCAGGCGCTGCACGCCCTCTCTTCCGGCCCAGGCGACCGCCCCGCGCTAGCTGGTTGGACTTGGGTCGGGAATCCCCATCAGGCAATCGAGCCACTGCGTATACGCAGCACGCACAGATCTGCACGAAATCTGAAGACATCGTGACCGTTGCTTAGAGTTACTTTTTTATAAGGCAAATTGCTTCTAGTTAGATTTTCTTTAGAATTTTTACTGTTGTGCATCACGAAGGTAGCATTACAGGATCCCCTCAAAAAAATGTAGCATTACAGGAAGAGAAAAGTCTATTTCAAACCTTAAATTCCTAGAGATATGACTGAATCCCAATTTGTTAAGCCCTAAAATTAGCACCGTTGGAATTGGTGAATCTTCACCAAAATATTCTTCCTCTCTGTTTGCGTTCTTGTTGGTGAGATTGGACCTGTGGTGTTCCTGGGTGGGATCGTATAATAATTCTCTTATTGTGTAAGTACGTTACTCTATAATTTTTGGGCTAGGTGATGTTCTAAGGTGTTGCAAATCTTGTTTGTGACTTTTGAAGAATCCATGTTATGGTTATTTTTAGAGTTTTATTTATAGGCTAGTTTTTTAACACAATACAGACTCAAGCGCACATACATACGCGCATACACTCATCCTATAAATGTACACACGCACCCTACCTCTATGAGCACCTTCGAGAGACTGAGCCGGCATATCATCTCAAACGTATTTATAATTTTTTATTGTTAAATTAGATTATATTATCATTCTTACATACTTTGGCCATCATTTTATATTATTTTTCTATATTAACATATAAATCCAGCGCGCAGTGTCAGTTGTTGTTTTCTGCTTCTTTTTGGTTTTACATAAAATCGATACCTACGAAGATCCAAACATGACGAAACTTTTTGTTGATTTTTTCTAGAACAACAGACCCTAGAAGCTTCGGGGGTGACCAAAAGATGGACCAGGGGGCACAAGCCTAGGGGCGTGCCCTGGGGCAGGACGTGTTTGTGGGCCCCCTGCTGCTCTGTTTGCCCTAATATTTAGCCTATAAATTCACATATATTCCAAAACCCTCGGAGCAAGACCTAAAACAATTTATTGCCAATGCAAGCCTCTATTCCGAAGCGATCTCATCTAGAGCCCTTTTCTGACACTCTGCCGGAGGAGGAAACCATCCATGGAGCCCTCTTCATCAACCTTGCTACCTCTGTGGTGATTTGTGAGTAGTTCATCCTCAGAGCTGAGGTTGTGTACTAGTAGTTATGTGTTTGATCTCTCTCTATCTCCCTCACACATATTTTTTATTGAATCCGATCTTGATTGTATGATAAGCTTTATTAATAAAGTTGGATCTTATGATGTTCATCCCCCTCTATTCTTTTTATGGTGAACTGAGTCTTCTCTTTGAAGTTTTTTTTATGTTGGATTGAATACTTCAGATTTGGGATCACTTGTTGCATGTCTAGTAATTAACTTGCGGATACATGTGGTGATATTGGGGTAATCTAGACATAAAAGGTTGAATGATATGTATAATATGGTGTTATCATAGTACGATCTTTAGAATTATTAGTGACACTTTGGGATGGTTCAATAGATTGATTGGAAAAGGACAACTTTGAGGTGGTTTGCTACCTATGTAATTTCATCCTACTTTCTTCGATGGAATAGAAGCTTTTGGATGATTCTTTGCTACACTTTGAGGGATTATCATGATGTTTAATTATGTTAGTGATGTCGAGAGATTGCACTAGCGGAGGTATAAATCCTAGGCCTTGTTTCCAAGCATTGAGACACTGTTTTACTCACTTTAATTATTTGTTACCTTGTTGTATCTATTTGTTTAGATTATAGAAACATATTTATACCATCCATACTACACACCTATCATCATCTCTTCGCCGAACTAGTCCACATATGCAACTAAAATTGTATTAGGTGTGTGGGGGACACAAGAGATCACTTATATCATGTCTTCGATGAACTAGTGCACCTATACAACTGACAATTGTATTAAGTGTGTGGGGGACACAAGAAATAACTTGAATTTGATTGCAGGGCTGCTTGAGAGAGAACCACCTTCATCCTACACTTTTACGCGGATTGATAAACGTTATGTCATACACTTGAGGAAAATTTGCTACTGTCCTACGAAACACTGCGCTTGGAGGCCCAACAAAGTCTACAAGCATAAAGTTGCATAGTAGACATCTGGCTCCCTAAAGATGGAATACGGTTCTCAATGACCGAGTTCAGTGGATCTGTTTGGACCGAGTCTTCTTTCATGTGTCTACAAGTTGGACTCTTTCGATCTATACTTCTCTTCATCGGTGATGGTTGCTGCTCTTATGTGCTAGTCCTATAGGGTCTTAGCACAACGACTTCCCTTCTATCTACCACGACAAGTTTGGCCTGACTCTGGTGAGTGAGGCACAATGACAGCGACGCGCCTTTGACTCACTCTAGTACTTGTAGTCGCTGCTAGGTGGTATATGGACATGGATGTAATTTTTTTATTTCTGTGTTTGTACTGCCATGTCATGATGAATCGGAAGTTCCTCACAAAAAAAGGAAAAATAACTCAAATAAGCGTGAAAATTTTCTATTTGGCCCATGATTTTTCTTGCTTCAGTTTTGATTAGTGGCGTGTTACAACACGTAGGTTGAGACAGACCTCCTCCCACAAAATGAATGTTCTTCCCGAGATTCCTACATCTAAAGAGTTCAGGAAACCCAGTCTTAAGATAGTCACTCTTTCCCAAGTGCCTTACTCTTCCATCACTAAGCCTTCAAGTAGGGACTGGTCCTACTTTAAGTACATCACTCAATTTTATCCAGAATGCGAAGTGGGCTCTCGCGATTGGTTAGGCCTAGTTGTTAGGGAATGTAGTAATTTCAAAAAAATTCCTATGCACACGCAAGATCATGGTGATGCATAGCAACGAGAGGGGAGAGTGTTGTCTACGTACCCTCGTAGACCATAAGCGGAAGCGTTATGACAACGCGGTTGATGTAGTCGTATGTCTTCACGATCGACTGATCCTAGTACCGAAAGTACGACACCTCCGCGATCTGCACACATTCGGCTCGGTGATGTCCCACGAACTCTCGATCCAGCTGAGTGTCGAGGGAGAGCTTCGTCAGCACGACGGCGTGATGACGGTGATGATGACGCTACCGTCGCAGGGCTTCACCTAAGCACTACGATGATATGACCGAGGTGGATTATGGTGGAAGGGGGCACCACACACGGCTAAGGGATCAATGATCAACTTGTGTGTCTATGGGGTGCCCCCTCCCCCGTATATAAAGGAGTGGAGGAGGGGAGAGGGCCGGCCTCCTAGGCGCGCCCAGGGGGGGAGTCCTACTCCCGGTGGGAGTAGGATTCCCCCTTCCCTAGTTGGAGTATGAGAGGGAAGGAAGGGTGAGAAGGAGAGAAGGAAAGGGGGGTCTGCCCCCCTTCCAATTCGGATTGGGCTTGTGGGGGGGGCGCTCCCACCTTGGCCGCCTCCTCCTCCTTTCCACTATGGCCCATTAAGGCCCATTGACTCCCCGGGGGTTCCGGTAACCCCCCGGTACTCCGGTATCACTACAAAAAAAAGACATCCGTGACATTTTGGGCCGAATGAAAAAAAAATTCTGTCATACATATGACACTTCTATGACGATAATTGTGACAAAACCCGGTATCATCATAGATGTGGTGGGCTCCTACTTCTATGACAAAAAATCATGACAGAAAATGGGCTTTTCGTCCTGGGCGGGCCGGAGACGCAGCTGCATGACATTCTTTGGGCCGTCCATGACGGAAAAAACCGTGGTAGAAGCGAGGAGGAGGAAAATTTCGGGGAGTTCCCGGTTACGGTGGGAGGTCGGGGGCTGAGTGATACGCGTTTCTTTCGTACACGTACACGCGCGTGTGCGAGGCGTTGGCTCTAACTGAACCCGAGCGAGGCGTTGGGCTCTAACTGAACCCGAGCGATTGCACTGCAGGCTACGCATTACTGAACCCGAGCAATTGATCGATGGCTGTTAACTGAACCCGATCGAGCGATTCCTTCGCTACTGCTGCTAACTGAAGCCGGTCGATGCTGCCTCTGGGATGAACAGTGAGCGTTGCGGGGGGTTTGGATGAACAGTGAGCGGTGGCGTTGCCTCTGGATAAACAGGACCCCGTGGTGTGGTGGAGGGATGGATGAACAATAGACGGTGGAGGGGTGCCCGTGGAGGGGTGGTTGAACAGGGTCCCGTGGTGTGGAGGGCTGGATGAACAATAGACGGTGGAGGGGTGGTTGAACAGTAGCCGTTGGAGTAGCGCGCGGTGGAGGCTGGATGAACAGGAGCCGGTGGAGGCTGGAGGAGGTCGATGGTAGCCCGTGGAGGCTGGAGGAGGTCGACGGTGGAGATGAACAGTATCCCGTGGAGTCCCGTTTTGCGGTACGCCACACCCCTCCCGATGAACAGGACCCCCGTTTCGACCGAGGAGGTCCGTTTCGTCCGTTTTGCGGTACGCCACACCCCTCCCGATCAACAGGACCCCTGTTTCGACCGTAGGAGGTCTGTTTCCTCTGTTTTGCGGTACACCACACCCCTCTCGATCAACAGGACCCCCGTTTCG